AAAAAATGTGTATAAAAGAATGATTCCTCTTTAAATCTATATGTATAAAGCTATATATGACGCTATATGTCTATCTTTTAAGATTAACTTGCAAGAACGACGGAAAGGGACGCGATCGACGTCGTGGATAACAGTTCAAGATTATAAAGATGACAGGGTTTGCAAAAACTAATTTGGATGCCCAAAATAACGTTTCTGGCGGACAAAGTCGCTGGCACAGCTAGTTAAAATATAAATAAGTAGAGACATAAAGTCGCAGTTAGGACTCTATAAATAAGTATATTGCTTTGCACGCGGACAGGTTTCTTTAAAAATATGCCAAAGCCAATAACTTAATAAGATTATGTTTGTTTGTTTGTTAATTCATTAAAAAAAGGATGTTTTAATTTTCATTCCAACGTTAATCTTCATAAACTTTCAATAATTATCAGAAAGGAATACAATTCCATAAGTCAATAGTTGAAAATTTCTTGTAAATAGGTACAATAACAGTTATCGCAAACAAAACTACCCCCAAAGCGCTCAAATCTGAAGGTAGTTGCGAATATACAAGAAACTAAAAATAAAACAGTATATTAGTTTAAAGTATTTTTTATTGAAATTTGATTTATATTACATTTCAATTCGTTATTATATTAATTTTTTATCTAGATCAGTTAGCAGTCAAAGGTTTATTAATTATAATTACAAGTAGACCTTAAATTACAGTGTCTTGCCTTTCTATTGCCGTCCCTTTTACACATATGCGAAGTGATGGGGACGACCGGCTGATATAATTGCGGCAATTGTTCACTAACCATTGACGTTATATTAAAGGAAAAAAATATAAGGGCCATGGTACACTGAGATCATTCAAAAAATCTGTGTACTCAGTATATACCAATATTGTTTCTGATATACTTAATATTCTAAGAACATGTTGGCACATAGCTTACGTTTAATATAACAAAAAAACGGAAGTATTTTTGGCAATGTATTAAATACTAACATTTACATGTAACATTTTCCTTATTATCATATGTTTACCACCGATTTTATGCGGAAAATATACAAGATTCACGTTGACTTTGACATTAATTTCATAGAAATTTGACTTAATTCGAGAATTATATTTCTTTTCATGACAGCAGAGAACAGACATGGTGTTTTCACTTGATTGAGGGTGAAGTATACGAGACCTATAAAACCTTATTACGATGCGCAGTCAACATTTTGGCTTTTGACACTTATAAGTTATATCTCAACACCATCATCAGAACACAACAGTCCCCATTTTTGCTACTTTGCCAAGCTCATAAACCGGAACCACATTTAAACACCTAAATACTGTAGTTACGCTACTCGCGTACACATTTAAAACACTTATAACGGTTTTAAACGCGAACCGCAGTTTAACTAATACATTCCGCGTTTAAAGCCGTTAAACGTGTTTTATTGAAACACTTAGGAATAAAGTTTTCCAAATTCATTTGCCTGGAGATTTATCACAGCGAAAAATTATAACAGACCCCAGAAAATAGGATGAACTTAAAACACTTTTAGCAAACAATATCACAGTATAAAATAAAGCCTTAAAAATATAATCAGTACGAACGGTTGGCACAGGGCAATACTCAGGGGCCGTTCAAGTATATACTTTAGCACAATGGGAGAGGGGGTTTGGATTTTGGATACTTTGCTAATTTAAATATAGCACAGACAAGCACGGAGTTTACTTGATGGGAGGTAAAATTCCCTAGCCATATAACATCTAAGTAAGATGCGCGGTCGGCCTATTTTTGGCTCTGTATATTCGGTGATACTAATGTTTGATGACCGAAGGTCGAAATCGTGATTACATCAGTATATAGCTAATTTAAAATCCATATAATTGTTTACGTTTAAAAGTAACGGCTAAATCAATTTGAATTGGAATTTGCATACTCGCTGACTTTGTTATCATTATTACATGCAATGGATTCTTCGCTTTGTTTATTTATAAACACTTAAGAGGTCTCGGGTGGTTATACTCGAACGGCCTTTAGACAAAACATTACAATTGGCAACAATATAAATTACAAATTTATTTAGATTGAAAAAAAAATCAACAAAGGCAGGACTCGAACCGGCATCCACGGCGTTACGTACTGTTGCTCTAACTGAGCAACTGTGTTAACTGGATACAAGTAGCTCAATTGTAAAGTCAAGTTTTTTAACTAAATTAATTTTTAATTTATATAATGCCATCATGCGCAAAATATTAAAAGTTCTCCCACAATACGCTACACCATAATTATCATATGAGATCCCGTAGATTTAAACGTAATTTAGTAACAATTTTACAACACTTTTCGGCTTTTAGTCCATAACTATTTGGCATTTATTTAACAAGAACTTCTAAAAACAAATTATAAATGCTTCTTCGATTTTCGAGTTGTTCGACCGTCGTAATTGAGAATCGACATCGTTTCGACATTACGACCGTCGAGCTTTAAAGCCGAGTAGCTTTTAACAAATTATTCAGTCAAACTGAAACAATTTTGAAAGTTTAAAACATTAACTATCTTCTTATAGATAATCTTATGTTAAAATGTGAGGTTAAATTTAACCTACCCTGGTTTCAATTAAAAGTGTGTGCCTTATTTCCAATCGTCGTTATACGTAAAACGATATCTATATATATACTACTAGCGACCCACCCCGGCTTCGCTCGCCTGCAATGCTGATACAAAATACACTAAAGAAAAACTGTGAATGTTGTATATAAAACTCTTCCTCTTATTTAGCGTATATAGGGACAGAAAAAGCGAATTTGTTTTATATTATGTAGTGATAAACAAATTTACCCTTTTTTCTAAAATAAACGATTTTTCAATATACAGTGTAAACCCCGTACGCTACCATTAGATTACCACTATATACTGTTAATTGGCATGGTGGCGAACACATTTTTGTGTCCGTTTCACAAGTATTTTATATAAAAGCTACTTCTGTGCTCTATTCAACTAAAACAATTTATCATTTCTCGGGTATTTGAAGTCAGAACATCTCATGTTTAACGCAATGCCAGACGTTCAATCTATTTAGATAGGGGGGCGGTATAACAAAATAAATAAAAAAAACTAGTAAAAAACAGAACAAATAATACAAAACAATAAAAAGGGTGACTCATGGCATACCTGTGTTATTATGTTATTCCTCACATTTGGTTTAGTTAAAGTTTTTCTAATACGGTTTTTCTATTAATTTAACAACAGCTCTTTGTATCGTCATAACATGCACAGTCTTAATATAACGACTCTTAGTAAAAGAGAGTTTACACTGTATTAAATAACGATCATTTTATAGAAATGTTTTACCAATTCCCAAAAGCGGCGCAGGCGCATTTTTACTATTGTTACTGTCTAGTCACGTGACGCGCCAGTTACGAATTCGAATATTAAAGAAAAATATTATAACGCGATTAAAAATAAGGCCACAAGTCTGCGACAGTAAAGAACTACTTAAAAATTCACTTGTTCGTCTTACCCCACTAAAATTGTAATACTGCTTGACTAGATATTAAATATTGTAACGAAAAGTGCGCTATTAAGTGATTAAAGTGGTTGAGGAACCAGGTCGGAGCTTCTTTGGGCATACTATATTGATTATGTTTATAAATAGTTTACTACGCAATGGCTAAATCAAAGTGAATTGGAATTTGCATGGTTATTGACTATTACGTGTCTCATATAATAAACAATAAATATTTCTGGTTCATAACCAGTAATTATGATAAGCGAAGATCTCCCAGAGACATTTTTTTATTTACCTTCATTTATAATGTAGTTGCTTTTAGCGCCATCTTTGATTGTTTCAGCTAACTACTTTAGGGTGGTTTAAAATTTCCAGAAATCGGAGTCATCGTGCTTGTCAAATTGCTACAAAGCTTCCGATGGACTCGTGGTTAAAATATTTTGCGTTTCAAACCGTTAAAAGTGGTCTATTTCAATAATGAGTATAGTACGCCCGCAGAAATTAAATTGCAAAGCCCATATCTAAACAATATCTACACTGCGAAGCTCTTATTGAATTAGCTAATAATTATAATTACAGTTGAAAATCGAGTCTTTATAATTAGTTGGCCCATTTTCAATACTTACTAAATAGTACAAGTCAATTTAGACCAGAAATCAGAATTACAATGTAGACGCTTAATAAAAAAAGTCAACGTAACCTCACCATCCAAACTGTGGTTGTTTCCTCATTTGAGAAAGAAATAAAAATTGTTTTCTTTTTTTAGCTACTTCAAACTGACTTTCCTTTTCTTTTTTTTCTCTAAAACTTTCTACTTTATATTGAACATAAATAAGTTCTCATTCAGGATTACAGTTCTTCCTACATCTAAATTGACTTTTACCATCATTTTATCTAAGCGGATCTAATTACTCCGCAAATGGATATTTGTCTTCAAACTTTGGCATAGGAATCACCGTTTTTTAAAACTGTTAACATTTCTTAAAAGTCAATTGTGCTTAATAGTTTTTTAAGGCTTGTGCGGCCATTTTAAAGGTACTTGACGTTTCGAGCATTTCATTCGTCGTAAATGAGACATAGTTCTTAAACTATCATCAATTACGACATTATGAGAACTACATCTCAATTACGACTGTCGAACATGTCGAAAACAAAAGCTTCGTTGTTTTAGCCATGGATATAAAAAAATAACACTAGTTAAATAAAGTTTTTCGGAAGAATTGTTAAGACATCATAAACTGGTGACTTCATTGGCACGGGTTGAAAAAAATTTAACTGAAAAAAAAATCTTAATCTATTTTAGACTGAATTAATTCGACGACATCGCCGCACCCTCGACCACAGTGTTCGTATCGATGTTTACCTAACAATAGAGTATGGAGTCTACTCGACTGCTTCAATCTAAAATAGATTTTTGATTGATGTGTTTGAAACATATTTCAAAGCTGTTATTGACAGCCCATTTTATAGGACCGGGGCTCTAACAATTATCCCTCGTCACGTGGTTATATGCTGGCCCGATGGGGTGGCAAGCTGAACGTCAGCGTATCGTTCACAAAATAATCACTCTCATCCAAAAAGTACCCATAACTATCATTCGAGACCTGATCCGCGTTAAACCTGGCCACGTCGCAGAACAGCTGATCGCGATCGAAGGATTTTCTCCTCTTCGCGAAGAGAATCGAACCGTCGAACGCGTATTCATCATCGAAGTGCAGCACCGCATCATCGTAGAAATAGTTCTCGGACCGAACGTTCCTGTCTATGTTCTTCTTGAGTTTCTTCTTCTCATAGCTGTTCTTCTCGGAGAAGTAGTCGTCGACGAGGGGGTCGTTGCTCCGTTCGTGCGCGTGCGCAGAGTACGAGCTCTGCGGGCTGTATTGGCACATGCGCATGCCCCGGCGCAGCTGTTCGCGTCGCCTGGCCACCAGGTCGCGGAAGTCCTCCGGCTCTATCCGAAATTCGTTCTTCGCGTTCATGAGGAGGTAGCCAGAGGCCGAGTGGAGGCGGAGCGTCTGCGAATTGTAGATAGAGCCGGATTTCTCTATGTGTCTCGGGATGCTGCCTTTGCGGCGCGGGCGCATCTGGCGAATGTTGGACGGCGACAGAGGATCACGATACGGGATCGACCTAAAAATATATGCACATACATAAACAAGTAAACAGTTTTTTGTGAAAACTGTTTATTATTTATTCTTATTTATTTATTAATACATTTACACTAAGTTTTTAAAGTGTATTTTTTTATTATAATTTAAGAAGCATATTCTTTATTATTTTCTAATATACTTCAGTCATATAACATCTGAACTTGACAGTTAAATGGTTAAACGTGTTGATTATCATTGTGTTAAGCGTGGGAGGTCCTGGGTTCGGAACCCAGAACCTCACGCTTGACGCAATTTATGTAAAACTGATCTGTGAAACGGACCCTGATTTCACTTTATAACGTCTAAAGAAACGCTGTCGACCCATTTGGCTTTGGGAAGTCCAGATTGCTACTAAAACGTGATTAAACTTACGGCTTTTTCACGTGTCAACGATGGCTCCTACCCAGGACGGAATTTTAATATTCCTACCAACCCAATATCTATCCTCAAAGAGATAGAAAATACTTATAAAAGATTGCATGATAGAAATGCATTTTTAAATGGTTACAGACGCGGATTATCAGCACTCCCGCGATCATGGTAGGACGTAAAGCGTCCAAAGCTTCACGTCCTTATAAAAAATATTAGCTAATAAAAATCGCGTTTAGACCGTTTTAATTATTTGAAATATCACTTACGTATTATGTCCGAAGCAATTACAGGTGCAGCTGCATACACTTGGCGCGTATTCTTCATCAGAGTATAATGGCATCATCGACGTATCACCTATAAATAATCATCATCATCATCAAATGTAGAACATCGTTTTTATTACATAGAAATCTCTAAGTGATTTTACATAAATACGAAATCGAATCTACATTTGCCTCAAAATTAAGAAATACATTTTTTTTATGATAAGAGTAGGAGATATGAGTAAGAGAGTCAAGTATTAGTTTCATTTGATGGAGGGTGAAGTACCCCAGCCATATAACAGCTCTATAACACATACTGTCTATAGTTTACACGAGTAGTACACATTTAAAAAAAAACACTTTAACGGTTTAAAACGCGATATACTACTTAAACTTATTTGAAAATGATTTTTAACTTCGGCCCAACGTTTCGCGTGGTCTCCCCGTGACCGCGGCTGCTGCAAAGAATCCGAAACGTTAGGCCGAAGTTAAAAATCATTTTCAATTAAGTTTAACTAATATATCGCGTTCTAAACCGTTAAAGTGTTTTATTTAAATAGTTTGCCTTTGTATATTCGGAAATTCAGACTGAAACGGAAACTTGATTAAATTTAACGGCTTTTTCATCTGTGGACGGTAGTTCCTGATCACGGTCGATATTTAATATCCAGATTTCCAGACGACGTCCAAGATGTTTCCTCCGAGCCCCTCAGAATATTCTGTATTAATTCGTGTATTTAATTAAATATTTATTAATAAGACTTTCACGTTCACTGATTTCATTAGTACTTACCAGCTTTTAACATTCTCGGCGTAGCTGGAAGTCTTGTCCCGCGGGCCACGCCCCTTAACACGTCACCGTCAGCAGTGATGACGTCACCTTCCAATCGTACAGCGACTTGTTGAGCCTGGAATGAGTTGCCTTATATTAACTATCCCCGAATATTTAAATAAAACACTGTTTGCGGTTTAAAATATTATCACAGTTCCTCTCTCACCAGGAGAGGAGACTTATGCCCACCAATGGGGCATGCCCACATTAATAGTTATAATCAGGGAGTTAAAGTTCAAGCCAGATAAGTCGATCTGTGTCAGCCAATTAGGCTTAAGTTCTTAACCCGTGCCCAGCAGTGGGACATTCAAAGGACAAGATGATACAAACGAATCGATTCGAAGTAGTTTTGTAGTTATTTTTTCTATCTTATTATCTCATTGTTGTTTATTGTTTTAATGTAGCTTCAGCTAGAACTAGTCACTGAAAATCACTTTCAGGTGCAACTAAAGTTGAGTGATGGTTTATGTTTTTGTAATGTTTGTGTGTGTGAATTAATTGATTTATTTGTTTTGATTCCTGGGTTTTTCTCACCTGTTCCGCCTGCTGTTGATCACGCTTCTCGTCTTCAGTGTTCATCGTGACGAATCTCAAGACAAGTAAGTTGAGGCACGCCGCCACAATGGCTAAGCCGAAAAGGATGAAAATCAGCGCAAACATCACATAGGACGGCTTACGGTTGAGCGCGTTGTCCTTTTGTAGTGCCACCATATCGCCAAAGCCTAAAAATGAAATGTTAGGCTAGCTATTGAAATTTGAACACACGACCAAAAACGGGTTCGAGTCCTGTTTGACATCTTTAAACGGTTTAAAACGCAAAATATATTAGAATATGCTTTGCAGTAGTCGTCGTCACAGGGGTTCGAAACGTCGGACCGTAAATATGTCAACTAAATTTTTAAAACAAAATTTGACGGTTTTAAACGCAAAATATTTTGCGTTTAAAACCGTCAAATTTGTATTATTTAAAAATATTTTTCAAATATAATGTATATAAATAATCCTCTTATGTTAATCACCATGTGAAATTTTTACAATAATGATCACAGGTTCATTGTTGATTCTGAGTTCGAGACCTACCAGGGTTTGAATTAATCCTTTTTAATGCGATAACTCTGTCTGTCTGTTACTCTTTCACGCCAAAACTACAGAACGGATATAGATTAAATTTGGTACACATATGGTCTAGACCCTGAGAAAGGACAAAGACTACTTTGCATTGCGAAAAAGGGGGGTTTAGAAGGGGGGATGAACGTTGGTATGGAAATTCGTGGTTTTTTAAGGTAGAACAATGTAACTTTCTTCTTTAGGAGTGGGAGTGGGAGTGAGAGTGAGAGTGGGAATTAGAGTAGGAGTGATGTGAGGTGAAGTGTTGCGGCAAAGTAGCACTTACAACATAGATTGGCTGCGATAAATGCGCAATTACATAAATTAATAAACAGCCTAAATAATTAAAAATTCTACCCCAAGTCACTAATCCACGCGAACGAAGTCGCGGGCACAGCTAGTTATTTAATTAAATAAAAATTAATGAATACAACTTACCAATCGTTGTGAGAGTAATGAAACAATAATAGACGCTGTCAAAGTAGTTCCAACCCTCAAACTTGGAGAAGGCCGCTGCACCACCAGCTATGGTCAATGACGATAAAGCGGTCACCACGCAAATAAGATCCACTTCAGTCGCATGCGTTTGTCGACAGTTCATTGCTCGTTTGATGGACTTTATAATGACACTGGAAGTATATAATATATTTTGTAGTAGATGTAAATATCTGGTTTTTCCTGTGGGCAATACAAATTGTTAGCGTTTGGAGACATAATGGAGGAAGCCTTCGGCCAGGGCGAACTACTAAATAGCATCGTGGGTTAATATATAAAAACAAGCAATGTAGTAGTAGTAATAAAGGCTTATTTAATTTATTTCTAATTTATTATGTTGATCAGTGCCTGGCCGAATCCAAACAATGTACCGTTTCCATGGAATTCGAACATAGGACCGCGCGTGTTTAATGCAATGAGAGTCTTACCCATCGAGCTAAGAAGGGCACTACACGTACGAAAAATGTAAATAAAAATTGGCAATAATAGAAGCAATAGTGCACTTGGCGCACGTCTAAGTCCACGACTAAAGAAAAGATATCCAGAAACTTACAATAAAAATATGTGTTGTAATGTAACCACTATTCTCAATTAAATGTCCGGGGCCCCACCCCCTCCGCCCCCCCGCGCCCCCCCCCCCCCGGCGGCCCCCCCCCCCCCCCCCCGGGGGGGGGGGGCCCCCACAACCCGCTTTTATATTTCAGTGTTTTTAAAGTTGATATTTAATACATACAAGTTACAAGCAACTGCTACTTATTATAAAGCCAACTACACCGCTAAAGTTAAGTTTAGCATAACTCTAATATACATATGCAATAAATTTAGAGGTACCTCATAAACTAAGTGTTATTCAAAAATTGCACAAAAGATTGAACAATTACATTAAGTAGTAAATAAATAAAATTAGTTGATATATTTTGTAAGTTTGTTCTCCAATGTAAAAGACTCTTAAGACTCTGGTGGCCACAGGCCATTTGTTAAAAATCTAAGTGTGCGAGAAAGACACAGTATTTATGTTCTTTTGAAATATTTATTAATGTTGACTATACCTGCTAAGCCTGTTAACCCTTTCACCGATACTCTGAAACATGATGAGTCCAAGTGGAATACCAACTATAGCATAGAACATGGTGAATAGTTTTCCACCGATTGTCGCCGGTGTGGAGTGACCATAGCCTGGAAAATAGGGGGCATGTGTAAGGTTGGTGTACAGAAAATTTCAATTTACTTTATCCAACTTACGCGGCTTACTCGTAGAATAGTTATTTTGGATATCAAATACTGTCTATAGTTTACGCGAGTAGTACACTTTTAAAAACTGTCTATAGTTTAACTAATATATCGCGTTTTACCGTTTAAGTTTTTATTTAAATTTTGGATATCAATTTTTTTTTTTGCAAACCCCCTGTTCAAGTCTATAAATTTGAGTTTACCACGACGTCGACCGAGGCCCGTCGTTCTTGCAAGTTAATCTTAAAAGAAAGACATATAGTGTCGCGGACTGTTTTTTTTAGATCATTTAAAGACGAAATTGAAAACTTTTATTTTACTTTATTCACATGAAGCGCTATACAATTTAAAAATCAAAATTATTGAAAAATTCAATTGTAGAGAAACACACGGAACCTAATCGGTTCAAGTCCTGCCGAGTCGAACAATTTTTCAATTTATTTTCGATTTTAAAAGAATATTTTTTCATATATAGTTTTTGGGTATCTTGAACCTTTTTCCATAACGCAATGGAAACTCACAAGGATAAATAATATTCCCCTTTTTTCCGACATATCCCGCTATTATCTATATATATTATAGGCTATAGGAGAAGAAAAATCTTCTCCTATAGCCTATAATACCTTACTCAATAAATGCTCTAACTAATACAATATAATTTTTCAATTAGAACCAGTAAATTCTGAGATTAGCGCGTTCAAACAAACAAACTATTGAGCTTTATATATTAGTATAGATAAATATTTTAAACTGTCTGTTTTATTTTGTTCTTAGATTATTTACTACATAAGTATGAAATTTTTACGATTTGATAGAAGAACCAACATAATTTCTGCATGAGGAACAAGGATTTATTATTTTGTTAAGTTCAGTAACAAAAAATTATAATAATTATCAATTTGTTGGTTGTTCCTGTGTTCTTTAGGTACTTGCTTTGTAAAAAGATATTTAGTCTTCCCTTTGCCTACAAGTAATAAGTATTTTTATTAAATCTTAGATTTTCTTCACTTACAAAGCACTGATTCAGGGTGAGGTAAAAGATTAGTTTTAGTAGCTCTTACCAATAGTAGTCAGCACAGTAGTAGCATAGTAGAATGCGCCAGTGAACTTCCACTGCTGTCCAGCCTTGTGCGGCTCCGACTTCAATACAACAGTCTCCATAACACGGAAGTCCTCTTCTGATATATTGTACTTTCGGATTATCATACCTTCTATAGCTGAAAGGCGAAAACAATAATAAACTTTACATACTTATATATTAAAAAGACTTTGTAATTTGTATTATGTAACCAGATATCTTATTATAAACATAGAATATATATTTAACCTGACCATTTCTATACACTCTGTCACATTTACCTTTTGTTATTTTTAAACACACTTTGTCACCAGTGTTATATTTGTGAATACATATCTTAATGTGTATGGTTAAATGCTGTCTGTAGTTTACATGAGTAGTGCACATTTAAATAAAACACAATAAAATATGGGGAGGCTTCCCAGTGACCACGGCTTCTGCAAAGCATCCAAAAACTTATGGTTGCAGTTAAAAATAATTTTCAAAGAAGTTTAACTAAATCTTTAAAACTATATCGTATTAAACTACTTTTTGTTTGTGTTTTAATTATTTTTTTTACTTATTTTTCTTCCGACTCTCCCATCCAAATCCAAAAGAAAGTAAATTTTAATTTAAATTCATATGGTTAAAACAAAGATTTTAGAACAAGACTTCCTTATACCAGAATAATTTGTGTAGTAAAACTTTTGTTGTCTATAAGAGCCTATTTCTGAATAAGAAACTATTAATAAATCACACCTTAATTGTAATTAAGTTATCTCATAACTTGTTGCCTCCTTTGTATATGACAATATAGTCTTTTTTAAACTTTAAGTTCCTATGGAACTATAGATTGGATTCGATTATAAGATATTAAACATCTACTACAGCTCAAACTCCTACCTTGTAAAACTTCAAATCGATTTCTCTCAGTAGTAGACTCAAGTGCATCAAACACAGCGGCACCGACAAGTAGATAAGTAAATGTGCACACAATTAATGATAGGGTGCGTACATTTTGCTTCTTCATCACTGCCGTGTGCACGCGGCCTTAGGCCATAGGGCCCATAACAAATCTACACTCCTATTATTTAATCCTTAAGTGACCATAATGCAAAATCTATTTCCAAATTCTATGGCATCCATCTCGAGTTTGATTATGTCAAATGGATTCATTTTAAGATGTATTTTTATCTACCGTAAATTGATCCCCTTTAGGAAGATTTTGCTTCTGTATCTAATGAGTTACATTCAGAAGATTCCAATCTAAAACAAATGATACAGGAATAGAAGTTTCATTATTATCACTTCTTCATGCCTTGAAGACAAAGGGAATGTTGGAACAGGAATTCTATTATTACAAATACTTTAACAGTCAATAAGTTATTTTATATTAATATGTTAGAAGAATTAGATACATTTGAACCTCTTGTCTTAAAATACTTTCAACATACTAATTATGTGTCAAAAAATATTTAGCTAGACATTGTCCTTTTGTATTTTAAAATATCTTAGGATAATAAACGGATTAAAACTCACCATTTCCACCCCTACAAGATATCGCATCTAACAATTCGCCGGCTGTGCATTGCGAAAGTTATTTTATAAATATTTAAAAATCCGCAAAGCTGTATCCTAAAAATAACAAAGTCCGCAATCGGAAAGGGTCAACCTCCCGCTCGTAAATGGGTCACACTTTGTATAAACATTATGATCGAAAACATTTAATTTAATCCCCCATAACCACTTCCTCGACGCATTATAACACATCTCTCGCTTCTAGCTAAAATAGCAGTGCATCGATAGTATTTTTATATGTCTATGCGGTAGAATTTCCCAGGCACACCTGCGTCTTCGTCCTATCATGCAAGCACGCACTTTGAAACAACATAACATGCATTCATCTGGGCGTCATCTTAAAGGAATATCTTCGGCCGATTAACATAATGTCGTTTCATTGAAAAATGTTAAGAATACATTAATAATTTTCCGCGAAACTGAACCCCCTGCACTTCCTCAATTTGATATTTGATTGACCTGCTTCGTGTTGCCAGTGGTGTAAAATAATTTCACAGCTAACGAGCTTACAACATTTTTTATTTAACTTTTTTTATTTATTTATGTAAATAGAATATAAAAAAATAATTTAATTATACTTATTAAAAAAATCAAGACAAACATTTTTATCTTTTACATAATTATTAAATTAAGTGACGTCTGTTATGGGAGTTAATGATATAATGCTTAAGAATAGCGCAATCTAGAATTAATTTTGTGTTTCTTTTACTTAGCTTAAATTAGCTCTATAAATGTTTCCGCCGTTTGTTAAGAGATGGCGGGGTATTCATATCATTTATTTACTAAAATAATACATTAAATATTGTGTTAAATGTCACATTATTTACTAATTAATAATATTCTTAGTAAATAAAAGTATATCTTAGAAGTTTGTAATAAATTATTGATCCCATTTTGTCATACATTACATAGTTACATTCTGTCATACATTTTCCGCTACTGTTGAACTAGGAGAATTGAAGGAAAGCTTAGTTAATAACAGGGGTAATACTGAACAATAAAGATGTAACCACCTAAAAGCAGTGTTAAGCCAGAAAAATTTAAAAGGGTTGTAACAAAAAACATTTGACTATTTACTGTAACCGTATTACTAAAGATGCCCAGTAACCACTAAACAGCAGTGTAATAAGACAAATAAGTGTACCAAACAAAAGGCTCCATAAAAGTTGTAATTCTTTCAAGACAAGAAAACTTTAATAAAATCCCCAGCGAAGTGCAAACACTCTAAAAAAATGGTTTTAAATGTTGTAACAAAATAACATTTGACAAGTTTTTACTCGTTAATCCGTATTTAAATGATAAAAATGCTTGGGGTGTGGGAAAAACCCCCCTCTCCCAAAAACATATGTTGTGTACTAAAAGTAATCAAATGTATAAACTTGGCGATAAAAGGAGTGAGCGAGTTTATTGCCAGTTCTTCTCGTTCGTTCTACGCCCCTTGATTTGAGAACTGGTAGTAAATGTAAAGTTAGATTCTTAATTATTTTGTGACGTTCATAAGTGTACATATTACCTACATGAATAAATGATTTTTGACTTTTGACTTTGACCTTCTGCACATGGGTTGAACACATTTCACATTTCCAATCTCGATAATTGTATTTATACTGGCAAGTAATTAATCAAACCACTGGATAGGAGGACTTCTAGGTTTGGACCCTATCTTTCGTGATTAATTCGAGGTTAGACATAGAGAAATTCCGTCGGTTTTATTACATACTATGTCTACTTGTTATGAGGTCATAGTTCGAAAACTGGCCATGTGTGTTCTGTACTAACCTTAATTGCATTAACAGTAAATCAAAAACTAAAAATAATGTATGTATAGGAAATGGTCTACAGATATAACAACTGTATTTTACTTAGTAACAAAGTAATCTTGTCGTCTCGTCAGCGCACGCGCCGGCCGAGTGAAGACCTTTCTCTCAAGTTCTGGGTCAATTCTGTTTATGTAAGGAATAAATACAATAATAAATGTTTCATATTTTTCGACCTTGCTTTCGTTGTATATCTGAAAATAAATCGAAAACGTTATCCTTCGAAAATAAGATCAAAGCTGTATTTTTATAGTATCGATTATATCATATGAATTTTAAATTTTAATAAAACAAATTCAACGGTTTAAATGCATTATAATCACTAAAATTGTTAATATCCCGAGACACAAAGGGAATGAATGATCTTAAATGAAAAATGTAATTCAAATTAGTACGATGTTTTTACGACACTAAAACTACCTAATACCTAATTAAGTATATAATTTTAAATACCGTCTGTAGTTTACGAGAGTAGTACACATTTAAATAAAACACTTTAACGTTTTAAAACGCGATATATATAAGTTAAACTTATTTGACAATTATTTTAACTACGGCCCAACGTTTCGAATGCTGTGCAGCAGCCGTTGTCACGGGGAGCCTAACCGTAGTGAAAATAATTTTTAACCAGTATTACTAATACATATCGTGTTTTCAATCGTTAAAGTGTTTTATTTAAATATATATTTTTAATTAATTGTTGAATAATCACTTTTTCGAAAATTGACTTTGTAAGTTTAAATTAGGCGTTAGACCATACATAATTACGTGCTATTTAAAAGCAATTAACATTTTATGTATGACATAGTGATAATATATTATTTTGCTTATATATTAATCGGTCAGTGACCAAGACACGGATACTTTTAAATTATTAACAGTACTATCTTTAGCGGTACTTATAAGTGCGGTAGTATTTTTAACAATAGTCCTAGACATTGGATATTTGTAACATTAAGTAATAGATTAACTATTTATTTATGTATTATTTAAGGCGTGAAAAGTGGTAATACACAGATAAGTAAATTAAATTATAGACCCGGTAGCTCAATTGGTTAGAGCAACAGCACAGAACTGTGTCATGCCGGTTCAATTTCTGCCCGAATTGAAATTTTGTTCAATTTATAATCGATTTTTGATTTATAAAATGCCATCATGTGCCACATGTGAAAAATATTAAAGTTTTCATATGTAAAATCTCTTATCCACGCATAGAAGAAAAATTGTCTTTGATGAGTTTTTTAGTAACAGACAAGTTCCTAGTTATTCAGACATCCCGGGCTGTCTGAAACTATTTATATTACCTATTAATTTGTATTTTTCATAATACAAACTCTCGCAATTCTACCCACTACGTATAAAATACTTTTAACAGTTTAAAAGGCGATATATATTTGTACGTGTTTGAAATTTATTTTAACAAGAACCGGTGTGTTTGATGCGTTGCAGCAGTCGTGGTCACGAGGGGACTGATTTATATAAATTTCTTCATTAATATCAACCCTTTCTCGTAAACCAAACCCAAAGTCTAACCAAAGCAGGGACAATTTCAATTCGAACCAGTAGTTCCTGGGATTAGCTCATTTAAACAAACGAACAAACTGTTCAGCTTTATAATATCAGCATAATTAGATAAATTTAAAGAACACTATCAGGAGCCAGTGACGAACGACATTCGAAAATATGGTACTGTACTGTTGTTTTCCAAATTGAACTACTGCATCATTTTCGTGATCACCGAATTTCCTCAACCTGTATTACTTACTTAGACAATTTAGGCCGCTAGATGCAGAGTAGCCTAACTGCATATTTATGACTTGAATGTTTTATATTCTAAAAATGTTAATCTATAAGAGCACAGTGACGAAAGTTGTTAACATAACTCTTACACAAATTATAGTACAAATTCGTTTTCGCCTAAGTTAATTGCATTTTTATTTTTCTCCATATTGAAAATCAGGTTTTTTTGTTATTAGGCTACTCTACCTCTAAGAAACTCAATTTTAGTTTTAATGTAATTTGCAGCAACGACAACAAAACGGTGTCGACTTTCCAATAAAATATAAACGTTTATGAAATTATAAATTCTAGCGGTTTCTAGCTAGGCTGTCGTACCTTCTGGAGCTAGGCCCTTTCACTTACGTAACACTCGAGAGAAAATCAAGAAAAGTGGAACTCGGGGTAAAACCTACGAAGTAACGTTCTAGACATTGGTTCTTTAGATCAATCTATCATAATTTTGTTATTGAAGTAAATACTGTCTGTAGTTTACGCGAGTACAACACTTTGACGGTTTCAAACGTGGAACATACTAATTATTTAAAACATATTTTAACTAAGGCCCGACGTCTTCCAGTGACCACGGCTGCTACAAAGCATCCAAAACGTCAGGCCAAAGTTAAAAAACATTTCCAAATAAGTTTAACTAATACATTCCGCGTTTTAAAAACGTTAAAGTGTTTTATTTCGATACTGAAGTAGCTACGAAAACTCAGTGGTAGCATCGGTACATTACACCGTCAATGGCGAGTTATTAAAAAAAAAAATTTTTTTTTAAATTTTAATTTTTTTAAAAAAAACCAAAACTTAAAAAACCCCCTTTTAATTTTAAAAAAAAAAAAAAAAATTTTTTTTT